CTGCCCTGAGCGGCTACTGACAGGTGCAATGTGCCCATTCTCCCAGGGACTATTTCAGCATGATTTCACTCAAAGAGGAAATGATTTTGCTCATTTGATTCGAGCTATATTAAGGAACAAAGGCTCCATGGTGTTCATTAGCATAAAACTTCACGACTTCTCTCTCTCAACTCGATGAATTGTAACTTTTGCATTTACCCTTCAATAAATACTGTATATTTTCAAAGCCAAACAAAAACAGACGGCTGCATCCTCTGTCCATAAAGACTATTTTGTTTGTTCTCTACGTGCTGCATTACTCATGCAAGCTCTATTGTGTTTCCAAGCAAACCCGGTGGAAATGAGAAGCATCGCAGTCGCTCCAGTTATGCAGACATCACGGTTGAGTAGCTGCGACTCAAATGGCTGCACACATCAGCACCGAGCGTGCTCCGGGACAGAACGGAATGGAGGCCCAGGGTTGGCTGTCTTATAGAGAGCTCCGCCCTCTCAGATGGCCTTGAACATTTGAATACAATGTTTTAGTTTGTGTGTGTGTGTGCCAGGTCTGTCAGTCGAACAGAAAGACAAACAATGAGAGCAAGAGATACGGAAGAAAAAGCAAAGATTTTTCTCTGCATCAATCTCCACAGCCTGGCTGCTTCTTCTCAGGAGCACGTATTTGTCACAGATCACGCGTACGGACATCTCCATCGCCTTCATCTGCACCCGTCCCTCTTTTTGTTTACTCTGCGGAGATGAATGGTAGTACGATGGAAGTTTCTCCATCTTCAGCAAACAAGCACATGCATTCACAAAGAATAGGAGTCCAACTCCAGCTTTTACCTAATTGTTCTGCCAATTATTGTGCTGTGATTGTTGGCAACGTGATGGTACATAGTTACTTTTTGTTGCAGTTATGTTTGGCGTCAGATTTATCTAATGTTAAATAGGTGCCATGGTTAAAAAAACACTGTTTTAATGAGCTTTGCAGAGAAAATGGATAATAAAAGCCCCATTTAAAACACATAAAATGATAAGAAGAACGCTATAATTAATGTGCACTGTTACCTTAAACTTCAGTAATTGGTCGAGGGGACTACAAATGTTAGGACAGGCCACTGTTATTTCTGATAAGTGGACACTGGCTCACTGCTAATAGCGGCGCTGGCCCCTTTTCATCACAAAAACATAGCAGTAACTCTCCCTTTTAGCCGTTTCATTAGTTGGCCACTTTCCGAGGAACCAATTAATCAGCTTCCTTTGTCAGGATTAGTCACCTGGCAAGATAGGATCCTTTATGAAATATGTTTAGGAGAGGCGTAATGGGGGTCCTATTCAGGGATTTGGCAGAGGCTAGCTAGTTATAATTGGAGCCATGCATCTGAGGTTGTCCCACAAAAGACCTTCTCGGAGAAAAGAAGGACAGGTCTCTCTTGTCTGCCCACACGGTGAGAATAAAAAAGGTGTTTATCCCCGACATTTATTTTTGTAATTATGGAAGGAGTGTCAGAAAGGTTAAATAAAAAGGCGGCTTCTCTTTCAGGAGTTCTGTCTCCGACATAGCTGAATTAATCTGTGTTCAGCGGAGCATGCACGTTATTATATAGATAATTTATTCTCACTTTGTAACTGTTCCTTCACTACTATTATCGTAATCATCGTATCGTCGTAATTAACTTCCAGTTTTGAAAAGTTGACGCACTTTCTGAAATGCAGTGCGCTCAGAATGTCTTGAATGTCTTGTTCACATGAACAAGACATTTCTATAATAATTTTCTATAATAATAATAATAATAATAACAATAATAATACGAATTTTTAAATTATAAGACTTCTTGTTATACAATAATCATTTACTAATTACATTTTTCTTAGCTATTCCCTTTTAATACTAAAATAAATAGTTTATTTGTTGAGATCTTTGGACATAAGTGATGATAAAAAAGAAATACAACCATGACTGGTGTCTCATATTAAACCATTACGATCACTCGGTGCTCTCTCCCTGTCTCTAACATTGGTCCAGGACCCATTTCCTGATGCCACTGAACGTTAGTGACAGCAGACTGTGGCGAGAAAATTGCATATTATTTACCCGCAGCCTTCAATATGTCGCCTCTCCACTCTATAGCCTGCAGCTTACAACCCGCAGCACATACAGAGACACACGACGTACAGAGACAACACACACTCAGATGAATGCAAACGCACATGAACTTAGCTCAAGGCTTAAAGCCGCCCCCCCGCCGCCTGAGTTTTCCGACATTCTTGGTCTGACGTGTCATTAAAAAGTGTCACTGGTTCTGGGGGGAGTGCTTTCCGCAGCTCTCTGCCTCCGAGCTGGAAGATGGGATGAGGGAAAGGCAGCATGGGAATGGTGAGCTGCTGGAGGACCACGCATGTAAACTCAGCCTTCAGTGACACATGACCTTCTTATGGCACGAGGAAAACAGACTGTTCCTGCTCTGCTGGAACCAGGTTTTGTAAGTTGTTTTTCTCGGTCACACACAAGCAGCTCAGATGAGCCCGGGCAAGAGTTCAATCATAGCCCTCCCCCCCACCCCCACCCCAATTCCCTGGGTTATAATGGAGCATTTGCATTGGGGCAGAAGCAGAATTTGTTTAACCTTCTGCCTTCTTCATTCCTCTCTCAGCTCATTCTCATTTCTAAATGGCTACATGGTCATTTCTGTCCTTTTTTGTCTCGCTCTACTTCTTCCACTTGCCCCAACTCTTTCTCTTTTTTTTTTCTCGACAATTCTTTTTTTTTCCTTGCTATGAAAGTGGGGTGACTGTGTGTCTCTGTTGAGAATAAGGGGAGTGGGGAGTTGTTAAGAAAACTGGGAGAACGTTCTCCTTCTCTCTCTTTTTTTTCCTCCCATCAAATTCTCTTGCCCCTGTGTCTTTCCATTAGAGAGTGAGTCCAGAAGTCCACTCAGCAGAGCCGGCTGAAGGTTTTTGACAGAGATGACAGGGATCATTTGTTCTCCTAAACACAGGGCTGCAGCCTTCTTTTTGAATTTACAGGCGCACTAAGCTCAGCGTTTCAAATCAATCCTGTTTCGAAGCAGATACGAGTGGAACATTTTTATCGGTATAAAAAATATCGTCTTGGTTAATGTACATTAATGTGAAGACTCAACTTATTTATTTAAAGCATCGTTTAGATCATGCCAAAAAATACCATATATGACGCATGTTTAATACATGTATATAAACCAGTGGCGGTGCCCCCTCCAAAGAGCCCCCTCCACATCGACACATCCACAGCTAATGCTTCAAAACCTTACTAAACTTTATCGCCGTGAAAGGAAAAAAAAATTGCAAATCAGTGAATTTTTCAACCAGGCACAGAAGAAAAAAAAACGCCCCTCCTGCAATAACTCTTTGGGAACCACAGCAATAAACTGACAATGACATGCGACATCTGCCCAGACCTGACTCAGCTTACATCAGCCTGTATTTGATGAGATTCTTCTCATCAATGTGGATGACTCTTAGTGATTGACAGCAGTCATATATACTGTATAACTACAGTGATAATTCATCCACCTCCATTATTAAATGCACTTTTACTAATAACCAACTGTGTATTGACAGTTTGTGAATGAATCTAATAAAAACTCCTGACACGAGGTTTCTACCTGCTGCACACATACCCTTCTCTCACTGCAGTATTTTTAAACTTTTATGAATTTGGCAGAAGACCTTACAATTCATTGATTCCACTTTTTCTTAAAATTTACCCTGCTGCACCAGGCGATACCTTTCAAGGCCTTAATTATGATTAAAAGTGTTGAGGAATAAATTAAATTATGACATTATGAGAGACCATGAAATCCATTCATCATTTCTTTCTACACAGGAGAATATATTTTCATTTTCATAAGGAAACAAGTGCAGTAACATTTTGGAGCAGATGAACACGACGAGAAGACGATGAGAAGTCACTCGTCTTCTTTGTTTTTTGTTTGGTTGTGCAGCCTTCAACTGCAGTGGATCAGTGGAACGACTACACTAATACACCTCTGCAGACACACACTGCACAAGCTTCGGTTTGTTGTTTTTTTTTGGGGGGTTTTTTTTTGGCCTGATGGTGCACAGAGTGGGTGGTCATTAGGGTAAAGTAGGGTCGGAGAAGAGAAGTCACAAACCTCATTAACGCTCTGCTTAGCTGTCTTAATTTTAGTACCTGGACTCTGGAGCTGGGGTCTTGTTTGATCCATTTGATGACCGTCTCGTAGACCAGCTCCTCAGCTTTCGTGTTTAGACTGTCGTTGGACAGGTAGGACAGCAAGTCCTCCTTGGAAACACTCAGGATCTCCTCTTGTCCTGCCACCTGAAAAAATGAGTTCACGGTAAATGACGAAGCAAAACATTTTTCACGGTTTTAAGGATTATGTTTTCAATTATTTAAATAATTGTTATTTAAAAACATTTTCTGTGGAGCTTTGTTTCACTGGATTAATTAAAGTCAGAAAAATACTGAGCCTATACAAACCTCAGGGAAGTTCTGCAATGCAAATGCCTTTGCCATGTTGTGCAGCTCCGTGCAACTCATGGCTTCAGCCATCGCTAGCACTCCGAGACAATTAGCGGCCGTCAACTGTTTCTCTGATGTGGCGACAGAGAGACAGACAGACAGACAGACAGAGAGACAGACAGAAACCAAGAAAGAGAGAAACATGAGGCAGATTGATTAGAGCAGGTAAAGAAACATCATTCAAACATCTATAAAAAGATGACAGATTTAGAACACCGTAGAGACAGAAAGATGCTACAGGTAGCGCATCCCATTGGGTACGTATCTGTCGGAGACTAAGAAAAAACAAGTACAATAACTCAGAAAAGCTCCAGGGAGAAACAAAACATGGAATCGATCACTCACAGCCCGGGCAGGAGGCGGTGGATGATGGAGAGAGGGCTTTAAGGATTAGTGAGGCCACTTTAAATAAGTCAGATTTTTAGGTCTTTTAAGGACACACACACACACACACACACACGCTCACGCAAAAAGATACAAAATAAAAAATATATATCAACTCTCAAAGCCAGGATAACAAGAAGCTTATGCAATCTTCTGTGATCTTCTGTAATGATCCTGTTTTTAAGGTAGTTCTACTGCAATTTTGCTTTTATAAGAGAGACTCAGTTATTACACTCACACACACACACAGTCATGGATTAAGTCGGTCAGTGGTCACTAAAAGGGGTCAGATTAAACAATAGCCATCAAAGAGAAGCAACGGCAGACCTTTCATCACTAAAGGCAGAGACCGAGAGTCTTTCCTAAATAAATATCAGCCAATAAAGGTCACCTAACATCTGCTGGATCACAGCTAAACAAAAAGGCCAGACCAGAGACCAAAGCTGGGACCACGCTGTATCAGAGTAGGGGGTCAGAGAATCAACAACCGCTGGAAATTTGGCACTTTGAAATAGTTTTTGTGCCTATGAAGGAAAGTCACTTCTGGTGTGGAAGTTTATACACAAGTTTGATTTGAAAGTCAATATCTTGTAGGTAGTTTTAAAAGTCAGGTTTGCAATTTAGAAAAGGGCCCAGATGTAACATAAAACAATACAATTGAAGACATTAAATTATGTAACAGGAATATTTGAATTCACTGAAAAAAACTGTCACAATTATAAATATATTTTTGGGCAAACAACTTTACAGAATAAAATGTTAACAAACAAAACAAAATCAAAAACTAACCTGCACTAATACCAATAGGTACACTTACCAGGTCAGAGATTTCGAAGGACAACAGTCAGTTGTATAATTAGACAAAAACACCACAGAGCTGCTGGTAATCATCAGTTTCATATCTAAGCTCAGTCACTAATTACTGTAATCATCTACACCTGTGCGAGGGGCTTCAGACAGAGCCTGCTCCCAAGGTAAGCTCCTGAAAGACAGTTTAATATGAAGACTAGGCACAACAACAGAAATGAACAAAATTCTCTCAAAGATTTTTAAACAAACTCAGGTTTGTGTCGTGCTGTTCAAGCTTGTTCAAAAAAAAAAAACAACAACAAACAAGCAGCCCCCATGACTGCAGACACAGTTCTCTGCCAAAGGAACAGACAACAACAAAAAAAACATGCTTACTTCCTCATAATTGGAAGATGTCTGGCAGTACAATAAGGTCAGAACTGGCTGAAACCAGTTGGAGCCAGGCGACCCAGCTACTGAACAGAAAACGTCTGGCCAGACTGTGGTCTGCATGAAGAGAACGCAGCCAAAACCCACACACCTCTAATAAGGCAGAGCAACTCTTTGGGCAGTTGTAGAAAGCTGGAGACAATGTGGGGGACAATGTGTCACTGAAGTCAACAAAATAGACATTTATGACTCTATTTACATTCTATTGGACAAAAATGTTATTTTTTAATTTCATTTTATTTGAGTGCTCAGCTCCCGAAGGTGTCTGCCCAAAGCAATACTATCAGGAAGGCATCTGATTGGACCTCATTTAATTCTGTGGCAGGACAAAGACCGTTCATAGGCTGTGTCAGGCCAAGGGTTAGAGGTCAACTGCATGCAGAGAAGAGCTGCATGGATCAACCTATATATATATATATATATTGACTAAAACATTTGTCCAGTATTGAAGTCAGGGTGGTAAAAGTTGCAGAATTGACTGTTTCTTTTCCCTCAGTGTATCTATCATCACTCAGTCATTTCTTATATTGCATCAATTTCTCACTCTTCAAGGACACTGCCTTCCACGGCAATGAAATGTCATGTATCTTGTCATAGAACAACGAATTGACGCCTCTCCAGCGAGTCTTCTAATGGCTTCTCCGATTCCCACTTTTTTTTTTTTTTTCCAAATAGAGGAAAACAAATCAATGGCGTGTCCTACTGGTTCTCTTTTACCTTCAGTTCACTCTGCTGCTGTCGCTGACCTTTTTACTAATATGTACTTCCCCTGAGTTATGGCAACCAAAAAAAAAAAAATGAATGTAATGTAAAACTTGACATTTTCAGCATTTGGTCTGGTCTGAACCACTAAAATCTAGAACACACGAATTGGATTTCAATGTGATATCTGGAGATCCTCAAAGCCCTTTTAATCCTTTGGTCCAATTTCCATACTTTGTATATATGTCAGGGCAGAGTGGGAACCTGTTTTGCTTTTTTTTTCTATTCCATCACAGTTTGGACCTCAGGGTTTGACATTTAAGTGACAATTGTTCCCTGACCTTTTTACAAATCTGCCCCTGGATGAACTCAGAGGCGCTGTGCCCAAATGAGAACAGGAGCAGGCAGAATAGAAACACAGCTGGTGCCTTGGAGTAAAGGAGCATCTATAGGCTCTGCACCAGGCTGTGCATAATGATGAAGCTCCACAAAGATGCACACACTACACTGAGCAGGTAAGGTTGTGTAGGAATATCTGATGTAGTGAGCGTGCACATTTGCTGATATAAGCGTAAGCCTTGCACACACACACACACACACACACTGCTGTTTGTAGTGTATAGTGCTCCTACCTAGAAAGGACACACAGACTTTACAGAAGGTGTTGAACTGGAACTTGTTGGCGGCCTCCAGCAGCGTTTTGGCGTTGGCCGAGTCGATGACCAGCGATCCCGTGTAGACGAACTCCAGCAGCAGCTCCAGCACGTCGGCGCTGATGTTGCTCATGTTCAGCTCCAGCATCTCGCCGCTCCGCGTCTCCCCTGAGGACCTGAATGACCAGCCACGGCAGAGACAGAGGAGTTTAGGTACATCACGTGATGAACCATCACGGCACAGAGACACAGAGTGAAGAGAAAGACGGACGCATGTACGTTACACACAACACCCTTAGGACACCTTGGCAAGTACGAGAGTGGGGAGGAAATAAGCAAATCATTACACGATAAGATAAAGTAATGTGAAAAAAGGGGGAAGAAACAGAAGTTTGGATGGAAAACTAAAGTGCTGCATCTGAAACAAATGTTCTGTCTCTAAACGGAGATTAGACAAATCAAAGTCCAATAGAAATAATAAACATTATTTCAACAGGCATGCTCGTTACGACTGTGCTTTCATGTATGCGTGGGTCCAGAGTTGGACGTGCATACATGAGTGTTAATGACGGGCAGTTCACACACTGACGAAGAGTGGATGGAATATTTGGATGGTGCACCGGACCGTTTTTGCTACCTCTAGGTTACTGAGGCAGGGCATGGGGTTTTACTGTCGCCACAAAGCGGCGGTGCCAGGAACGCTTACGTCAGCAAATTAAATAGAAAACAATACCAGTGGAAATGTAAAATTCTATCACGAAGACCTGCACCACACTGTGACTTCACCGGGATCAAATGGCTGAGATTAGTTCACATGCAGGATCCCCTCCAGAGAGGTATGAGAGCATTAAATAACACCTCACCACCCATGTTTAATGTCCCATGTGAAACAATAATCCACTCAAGGGCAAAATAAATGGAATCAAAGCCCGGCAGAACACTGCCCCCACTACTTTGTCTCTTTTAGCGGCTACGGACATTAACAATATGAAAAGTGCCCGACATTAAGATGGATGGAAGCTGTTTTCTTCTGTCAGTCACGGCCCGCGCAATGATAAAGCTCTGGGTGTGTGTGTATATATGTGTGTGCTCTAGGCTTCTGCTGAAGACAGTTTATGTGATAAGACCATTTCATGACACAGAGTCGGCGTGTAGTGAGAGACAACGACAACGAAACAAACACGTTGAGACAGAATGTCTGGAGTGACGGGGAGAGACAGGAGAGACTGAGGGACAGAGTGGGTGTGGAGGAAGCAAAGGAAAGAGAAGCAGGGCAAGACGGTTCTTCCACAGGGAGCCAGCAGCCATCCTTCTGAGGGAGGGATTGGGTTGTTCCATGACTGTACCTTGGTTGTTTAAATAAGAGATCTCCTCAGCCCACCCCGAAAAAACAAAACTCCACCATCACACCTAAACAGAGTCTTTGTTTCCGCTGCAATATTCATTAGTAGCCTGTAGTGTATGAACTGAGACATTAGTTGTCGTTTGGAGCGCATTCAGAGGGTGAGAGGGGAGAAGGACATTGAGTAATCAAAATAAATGAATAAATGAAAAAGACAATAGCATTATCTGGATGGACATGTGCTGGAAAAACCAAGGAAGTAACTCCTTTTCCTCCTGCAAAGCAAAAAGCCACATATGTTATTGCTCGTGTTCTTTTTTTCTTTTTTCTTTTTTTTTTTTTTCAGCACAAAGCCCTGCAGTGGGGGCAGGTAGTAAGACAGAAGGAAGTGAAGGGGAGTGCTGTTCAAGGTTAAAGTGATGGAAGGAGATGTGAGGAACAGAGAAAAGGGCTAAAAAAAAAAAGAAAAAGAAGAAGAAGAGCATGCTCATCATCCTGGTCAATTAGTGCAATTGGAACCGGCTCAAGTAGCAGTCTGTTCTGTCTGAGCACTTATGTTATGGAAATGACTTTTTCTGGAGCTTTTAAAAGGTGGATATTTATGCTGCATCTGATTGCAGACTTGAATTTAAATAGTGACACAGGGCGTCAGGGAGGACGGGAGAGAGAGAGAGAGAGAGAGAGAGATAAGACAAGGGAGAAAACATGGGCACACTCAGGCAAAGAAATTTGTTTGTGAAAAATGCACCACTTACTCAAGAGCAAGTCTGAGAAATCAGCAGAGACTGTCAGAATGGTAGCAAGCAGATGTAGAGAGGAAGGAGGTAAATGCACTAACACACACACGTGCACACTCACACACACCCCCACTTAATAAATCCTTCAACCTAAAAAAAGCCCATTTTTACGAGGTAGACATTTAACTTTTTCACGCAGGACCATATTTTTGCCGCGCCTCGCGCGCTTCCACGACACCTTAAGATGGAAGGTTACTCAGATGCAAAGCGAACACTGTCTGGGCTAAAAATGGATAACATTAATACATATTCTTATATAACATTAATCAGGGATAAATGATATAAATAAACAGTCGGAGTGGGCAAGTGCTAGCGGTGGTTCGGACGCAAGTTTCGCTTGTGTTTGCATTCTGGTATTGAGGCCACTACATTTTATCATTTGGTGATTTGGGGAAGTTCAGTGCTGGGTGTGTAGAAGGTACAAGTCTAGTGATAGGGAAAATAAACGAATTAAATTGCCTGTTAAATAAAATGTTTTAGTCTGGTTTCTTTCACACTGGACTAAAGATAAACAATAACACTGTCAACACATAAAATCAGGTTTGAGATTTGGATTATCTGATCATTTCACTTGGTCAAAACGAGGTTGCTAATTGATATGTGAGAGTAGGGCTCATCTCTGGACTCAGCTGCTGAGTTCACACAGGGCGGACACCTTAATGGGCCTTAACACATCTCCCCAGACGTCCTACCATCACAACTGACTGAGAGAGAAGGGAGGAAAACAAATGGCATGAAAGCATGTGTCAGGACTACTGAGAGATTTCACATTACTGATGCAGTGGCCGTAAATTAAATGCTTGCGGAGCGCACTTATTTGAAAATCCCACGGGGTAAAATGGAATTACTGAAGATGATCTGTCACCCTGTTCTGTGCAACAGTACTTTAAAGAGAGGGGGTAATAGGTTTTTGGGCAAGGGCAGACGTGTGCGTACATTACACTCAGGCATTATATTTTTCATCTTTCACGTGGTACGCCGGCTGAGAGAATGAATACACGCAGTAGGGAAGAGGTATTACTATCTGAGTGGGAGAGGACGGTAAAACGGTTGAAGCGGGCTTTCAAATATTCTTCAAATACTTCAAATCCTGAGTATGATGATTCCAGCCCCATTACAGTAATACCATTTTTACATGTTGTTAGAAGAGTATTAAAAAAGCAAAGAATAAAAAAAGGGGGGGATTATTTTGGTTACGTTTAAATGGGTCATACGGTGGGGAGTATGTTTTGTATTTGTCTGCATATTCACTAATTTGTCTGTGTTGCCTCTTCCTTTTCAAGGTAAACAAGACAATTTGGGCTCCCAAGATATGAAAGGCAGCAGTGGTTATGCAATTGAAGCAGCAAATCAATGGGTAATGTTTGAAAATGGGGCCTAATTTCACACTGGTGTTGAAATGTAGCGGAGCTTTTGAACACTAGTCCATGTTCCTAGTTGTGACTTTTAGCCTTATCTCCAGAGTTAAAAATGCATGTTGTTAATACTATGTGTTAGGATGCACGTGTACTTAAAGGTGATTTGCACTTCTCTGTTCTCCAGTACAATATCAACGCCTCCAGATATAAAGACCCCGTCCTTGTATTCAACATATATAGACGCACGAGGATGCATGCACTACAACACTAGACTCAGGGTTAAGTACCTCCCCTCCCCTCACACACGCGCACACACATGCACGTGGTTTACAGCAGGCTGACAGGCCCTCTGAACTGCAGTGAATACCATCTGAATAAGAGGGGTTAGATTTTTAGCCCTGCTCTCTCTCCCTGTCTCGCTTACATGACCTCATGAAAATATGGACAGCAGCGAGCCACAAGCCACATCAGCATAACTCTAGTTGCGAAAAAAAAAAGAAAGGAAATGACCAGAGTGGCACGTGAGCGACCGCACCTCAACACATTCCTCGCGGCTACGAGCGAAACGCTTTCCTGTGAGCTCATTTACGCCTTTTGTTTGTGTTCCTCCCCTGCTCTCCTGCTGTGCCTCCCTTCCTCAACTCCCATTTTAATTTTCTTCCAAGGTGCAGCGCACGGTAGAAAAATCAACGGCAATAACTGCGGTAGCTTAGTGTTGTGAATTCATTAGTCGTTCTTTCAAACTGGCTCTAAAACATCATAATTACGACAAAGTGCGGATTCTCCAGTGTGAGGTCTAATGGGAAACGTTTTCTTTACATAATCTGGGGGGAAAAAAAAATCTACTGTCACGATAATAAATTAAGACACTATTACAATAAATTAAGCATTTAATGAGAATTGACTCAATTAAACTTTCAAATTACGCAAGTAGGATTGGACATTGAGGAGCAGCAGGCATGAATGTATGCAAGACCAGCGAACTCCTTCAGGAGTCGGTTTCTTTAAGAGACCTTGTCTTCACGCACAAGTGATCTTTACATCCTGAATACGAGGCAGGGATGAGGCATTGCGACAGACGGGATGACCAGCAGTCGGGCGTTAGTTGTATCCAAAGTCACTTTAGTCTCTCAGGAAGCGTCTCTGCTATTGACAAGGTCAAAATAAGCCTGAGTGCCTCGTTTTCATTCATGGGATGCTGCAAGTATCGCTGTCATGGACACTGGTGAGTCTGGTACAGACTCCGCTCTGTGGCTGTTTTATCTCTGTCCTCTCTCTCTCTCTATCTGTCTCTCTCCCTCTCTGCTCTTCTTCACTCCATTTCCATTCAGGAGTAACAAGAGTATCAGCACTAAGAGAGTGGGGGGGCTGCAGCTGATAAGCAGCCGGGCTGCAGGGCAAAGTGGCAAACTTCCCCAAGGCATTCCATCTCCTGCCGGCTACTGTAAGTGTCTCTCTGTTGGACACTGCATTTCATCCCTAGCCATGCAAGGGAGAACAATAATACACCAATGCACATGAACACCAACATGGTGGAGTAACTTTGTGTTTCGGGCGGAAGCGAAAACACCTGTAAAAGTTTCAAGTAAAGACGAGGACACTGGGGAATGTGGAACTTTTCTGTGAGATACATGCACACTTCCACATGTGCACCCATAGAGATACAACAAAAAGTCTGCATCTAACATACACAGTCGCACACACAAAAGAGGCACCGATGGAAAGAGCCCATGAAGAAACAGAAAAGTGTGGAGAATGAAGGACAGAACAGAAGGCAAACACTTGGATCCTCATCAAATGAAAACATTGGAGAAGTGCAACGATAACCTGTGAAAGTGGTGGTTCATTAAGCTGTCTTAGATGTGCTGTACGTTTGTGCTTTGTTTTCGACTCTGAAATGTCTTATTAGTCTAACCAGGGTATATTAGCATATGAAAAGGCTGTTTTGTAGCAAAAGTCAGAAAATAGCAGCAGAAAATTATGGAAGCTTGGGAGACAAAAATCCCACAGTCCACAGACGACAGCGTGGCTTTGGTAAATTACCACCCAAAGTGTAGAATGCATGATTGTTTTGTTTTGGCCCTTCGGTGAGTTTTAAAACATCCCCAGTCATGGAACATTTTCACTGCTCATTAAAATGGAAATGTGGTTAAACTGCCCTACATGGGGAGGAAAAATAATGACGAGCGTTGACCTTTGTCTTCAGTTTCAGATACATTCATTTGAGTGGGAAGGAAGAAGGAATGGCTGCTGGCCCTGTGCTAGGAACCAAAGTCTTCACACACCTGCAAGAGAGAGAGGGGAAGGGAAAAAAAGCGACAGAAATGTGCCCTATGAAAAGAACAGATTGGATCAACAGCTGTCGGGAGGGGAAGCGAAGGCAAACCTTTTCACCAGGTCCTTGAAATACAAGCTGCAGGAAGCTAGAACATTTTGGTGGACTTCAAACTCTTTGCCTTCAACAATAATTTTCAGGTCTGTAAACTCTTTCGCTCTGCGTTGTTGGTTCAACTCCTTCAACATCTCTGTAGAACAAGAAAAAGAAACAGAAAAACGCCACATTTGGGTTTAGAATACATGTCCACCAAAAGCATGACAACAAGAGAAAACAGAACAAAATGGTTAGAAGAGAACAACTTTGGTGGTCATTGTAAAGGAAAACTGTTCGTGATGTGAGACGAGTGACACGTGCAGATTTAAGCCAGTTTATACTGTAGAGGTGCAGCAAAGAGAGAGAGAGAGAGAGAGTGTGTGTCTGTGTAAACAAAAGTACACATATGCTTTATGGAACGAGTCTTTTGGATTTCGAAAAGCAAACTCCTTTTTTTTTAGCCTGTGTTTGACTGCTGTAAATTTAAACTACCACTGAATGAGTATCTAAAAGAGACGTGGGCTGAAAATGGAGACAGCCAATGCATTATTCATACCAAAATAAAATTATTTGGCTTCTTACCAGTACCCTATTGTCAGCATGGAGTTGACCTTCAAATGTTGCTCAATAAAAAAACGCCCACTGCTTATCCCTAAATCCCTTCCCCCTCCTCTCTCTCAGAAAAATACCACACTCATTTTTGTCTTTCTCTCTGGCAACAAAACTATAGACAACAGAGACAAAACACCACCTCAGAAAACACACTTAGAGCAAACGGCTGTGATGATGAAGGTCACAGACCACTGTGTTGAGGTAAAATCCAGAGTAAAAGCTCCAATTTTTAGGTCAGACTTTAGTTTCTAGTCTCTACTACAAATTTGGTGAGGTTTTTAATTATTATTAATTTACTTATTTTAGGTGTTCAGCACTGTTATATGTTTCATTAAATCAAAGTTTAAAAATCGAACATGAGGCGAAGCGAATGTGAATTTTATTAAAAAAAAAAAACATTGTTAAATTATTCAAGCTCTGCAACAGAATTCAATGGAGCTTCACCGACTATTTTTTTTCATTTCCCAAAAGTGAAAGAACATTTAAAAAGAACTCGGACCATCAACAGGTCAAAGACGGAGGTCGTGACCTGGTGTGAAAAAAATCCGGCAGAATTCTACAAAAAAGGAATTCTCTAACAGGAACAGCACTTGGAGAAATATTTAGACTGAAATGGAAGATAAATACAAAAATAACTTTATTATTTTCATGTTTTAACAGCTACTGGACCTCGCTCCTGACTGATCGGGCCTCACACTAAACCTGAGTCACTCATCAGCACCTGTGTGTCTTTTCCTTGACATGTTTTTTTAACACGTCAGCCTATGGTTCCTGCGGATGAAAGCTGCTGTGGTGTGTGACCCCCTGTCGACGCGCGCTCATGCGGTGTGTGAATTAACAATGACTTCACAGGCTCCAGATCACAGCGGCGCCTTATGTACTGCGTGTCGCACAGTGATCCGGCGACAGTTCTAAGTCGTGTAATGTGTACTCGGCTTTGCTGCGACGCCGGGTCCAAGGCCGTTGCTGTGCTGCATTGTAACAAGGCACCATGATGAGATGCTGAAAGTGAAAACCAGCAGGAGACGACTAACCTATTCTATTGCCTTAGGAGTGCTAATGAAAACAGGTTTGGTTTATCTCTGCAAATATCCACTGTTTGGGATTCTACTAAACAAAAACACATACAGTAGCTTTAAATAGATTAGCATCCTACAGAGTTCCCGTAGGGGGAGGATTTTAGTCATAGAGAGAGCAAACGTCTGTGCAACTATCGCAGCATTATCACAGCATTTGGTAGGGAACGGTTAGGCTCAAAAAGTGTCATAAAAAGACATAATATAGCTAACAGATAATAATAATACAGATAAGAAACCCGGCGTCTGGATCCACAGAAACCGTTACTTTCCCTGAAGCTAACATTGCTGACCTCTGCATAAACATGGCTCTCGGATCAGTGGAGATTCTGAGACTACAGATTATCATTCCGATCATGTCCAAGAGCGAAGGTACGCAAAGGTGCAGGGATGGAAATCCGTGCCGCGCGCGTCCAGACAGTAAAGCTGCCAAACCCGGCAGAAATGTAACAGTATTGTTAAAGTCCAGACTGGAATGGAGGATTTTTCTGTTCTCCTCCTGAAACTGTCTGAGCTCGCAGCAGACTTAAATCATAGAATTAACCTGGTCTGACACTCGGGCCCTTTATTTGGCTGAAATACCTCCTCATTTAGCTCGTTGCATTCTCCTGTCTGACACTGGGAGCTCAACGCTGAATTAATTCAGGAGCTGGAATTATACAGTATAAAGACACATGACAAATAAGGTGCAATTCAGAAGCACGGTTTTGTAAAAAGCCTCTTCCCTGAGCAGCACATCCCACAGAGTAATTGCTTTGAGAAATGAATGGGAGAATGCCAGAGAGAATGACCTGCTTATTAAACATACTGAATACCTAATGGGGGAAAATAATGGATGCAATTTTTGACAATATGTCTGCCGCACTTAGAGCGGACACACAACTGTATGGCGAGCGGCATGCACGCACTCATAGACGTGGAAACAAAGTTGCCATTGGCCCTGTCTTTCATCATCTCCCTCCACTCCTCACATTCCACTCCATTGATGCTTGTCAGTTGGCCGTCTGATTACTCCCAGGACAAGGAGTGTGAACGGTGAACACACACTAGTTTAGGGGCTTGCGTTCAGTGAGTCTTGAGTGAGCGATATGGCTCTCACTTTCAATCAGCCACAGCGCATAGCATCCGCTGGCTCCAACAATAGAGACAGTGAGAGGGAGGGGCCACAGAGGGTCCGGATTTGTCAACAAACAATGGCCGCCCCCCTCGGAGCCATGCAGATACACCTGAATGCCTGATGGAAAAGCTAATTATGGCTTCTTGTGTGGATCTGTGAGCACACCAGAACAACCCATCACCAGTGGGGACCATGAAACTGCGTATGGCATCCCAATTTTCAGGTTTGGTGCAGAGCGTGGTGTGTCCAGTGGGATCACAGCGGCTCTTAGAAAAACAAACATCTCAATACCCTTGATGGAAAGATCTCTCGGTGCCTGTCAAGTTTTTCCAGCACACAGTCAAAACAGATGTGTAAGAATGGTGGCGTGGTTTGTTTTGTGGTACCCAAACATTCCCATAGCGATGCAACATCCTACTTTTTTTTTCAAATATATCCGTGGATGACAAGCCGCAGATAAAATTCACCAGAGAAGTTTCCTATCCCCAAGCTCTTCCTAAAATAATAAAAACAGCCTATTTTGGTAGGATTGGTTGACACTCTATGCAAAGGGGTTTTGAAGCATGAGCCAACTCTGCTGCTCAGCCTAGTAACTCTCCCTGAACACCGCAGCCAATGGAATCATCGCGTGAGGTTTCACATGGCCAACCAGCGTTGCTGTTATAAGGTATGGTTAGTCATTACTGAGCTGTGATTGGTTGCCGTAAAAAGACCACACCATTGGTTACCAACAATGGAGCCATTTTGGGGTTCTACGTATAATTAACATGGCCCACCATTTTGTCTCTGTAGAAAAGTTGAACAACGGAAGGGCATATTCAAAAGCAGCGTTTACTTAATAAGTATATATGAAAAAAAAAACCTCAAAATTACTTTAAATTATTATACCATCCATATTTTACTGCCTTTGTTTATTTATTTTTTATTCTAACAGCACAAAAACCCAACAACAACAAAAAACCATACAGCTACAGTATATCCACATGGATCACAAGCTGACTGCAGATCTGTTCCGTCTGACCTTTCTGTTCTTTCAGACTTCCAACAATCAATTTCCACCAACACTCTCAGCTTAATTACTGAGAACAAACCATGCTGTCTGATCAATAATTCAATGTACAACTCCACCATAATGGGTTTTCTTTAGTTAGACAAAACAACACAACATCAGTGCAATTTTCAGGACCATTTTCCCCTTAACGTGTGATCATTTCATCTCACCGCATTGAGATTTAGACAGAGATTACTGATTAACATTGTTGTTTGCCAAATAAGGCTGCACATATTGGATTTCAATGGAATTTAAATTCATTTTAAAACAATAATTAATAAATGAACATCTATTTGTGGATTCTACACATTTTAAGTTAGCACCAGCTTTAAAAAACAAAAAACGTTCTATTAAAATGCTCTTACGATGATTGGTTTTAATTAAGTAAAAGCACATATTTGCGATCAAGGTGACCTTCTTTTCTCATTTTAAAAAGCAAGCATCAGCACTGGCACAGACATCCAGGCTTTTGATAAGAAGGGAGGTTAGAGAACGTGTTAAATAATAACGAGAAGAAGAATAACGTGAGCAAAAAAAAAAAAAAGAGTGGCTTTTAATCAATCCACATAAAAGTCATTCCAGGAACAAAAAGATTTCCTGGTGCTGCTATTCCCAAAATGTCTCCTCCCTGCACAGCAGAGAAAAACTTCTAATAAAACACTCATAATGTCAGGAAGTTTTACTGATTACACATTTTTAAATGGGGTTTTCTGTAAATAAAAAATAATATCTTTTGACCTTTGGCTCTTGCAATGAATTAATAAACATTTATTTTTTTTGTCTACAAAGTTGACTTTTTATTACCAAAATAAATGGATAAACAATATTAGGAGGAAAATAATAACATTTACCTAGCAACAGTTAATTGTCATCATGGGGGTCTAAGTGTTTTTTTAATAGTTATATGAATAATGTCTTAATTTGTTAATAATAAATGCTGCAAAAACCTGATTGGTTGGTTAAAATGTATATCAACTTTACTGAACAAAAAATATCTAAAAATATTTGTGGATAGTGCCAACATTATAATATCTGTAACAACAGAGTTGAACTTAACAAAAATGAGTCAGTAGTTTTTTTTTTTTATTCTCAGATATTAATTATTATTATATTAAACATATATACACTACAGTACTCAAAAATAATGAAAATAATTTAAATAATTAATTTTAATTTATTATATATAATATATGTTATAGACTGATTATTATGATTTTTGTTATATGATTTCTATGATAAGACAATTGGGAATTTTTCTTTAAAATAAAGATCTGAAATGCCACTCTGAAATGCCAAAA